ACAAAATAAACAGTACCCATACTACAGGGGTTTTGTTTTGTTTTTTCTGTTTTTTTTCCCAGTACCGGGAATCGAACTCACGACCTTGTGCTTGCCAGGCAGGCGCTGTGCCCCTGAGCTAAATCCCAGCCCCTATAGAGTTTTGTTGTTTTTGTTTTTTGTTTTTATTTTTTTCCAGTACCAGGAATCGAACTCACAACCTTGTGCCTCTGCTATAGGGTTTTGGTCTTTGTGATTACATGAACTTTTGAATCTTTGAAGCTCTTTTTTTTTTTAATACTATTTTAAAGAGAAAAAAATAAAAGTTTCAAAACAGGTTAGTAGGAGAGTCACAATAATGCATTGTATATTATTGTCTTCATAGTAATTATATCCAGAATACAAGATATAGGCATCTTGTCCAAACAGTATTAGCACAAATCTTTCTTTTCAGCGAACTAAGAGATACTAGCTGTATAACTATCTTAACTATCTTGCATATAAATACATATTTTTTTCTTTTTGCTTTTCTTCCTTTCCCCTTTCCCATCACAGTTTGTCTTTTCTTTTGGATAGTTTCTTCCCAATTCACAGTATCTGTTACACATTTTGGATCTTCCCTTCTGAATATCTTCCCAGAATTGAAAACATCATACCACAGTGATATCTGTGCACCCATGTTTATATAAAGCAGCACAATTTGTTATTGTTTTGTTTTGTTTTGTTTTCCAGTATCGAGAATCAAACTCACAACCTTGTGCTTGCCAGGCAGGCGCTGTGCTGCTGAGCTAAATCCCCAGCCCCATGCAGCACAATTTGTAATAGCTAAATGAATCTTGGGACTGCAGCTCGCCCATGCCCTGGAAGCTGCCCCTTCCCAGGGTCACGATGGGCAGCAAGATGTCGTCTGTCAGCTGGGTCATCCAGGCAGTCAAGCCACACACACTGTTAATAAGGTTTCCTGACAGAAGAGACCGTCTTAAACCCAGTGCATTTTAAGGGGAGTAAGTCACCAGAGTTGCTGATGCAGCCAGGTCTGCCAGAC